CCTTGTGACCTGTGCATCAGCCCCGTGGATGCACAACAGTCACCTGGGGTCTTCTTGCAACAGATTCTAAAGACATCAGCACCTCTGTGACAAATCAGGGAAAACTTGGGCTGAGAAGAAAGCACAAGACAGAGAATTACGCCAACGGAGCCCTGACAGGAAGCAATGAGAGATCCACAGGATCTTAGGAAGATGGACAGGAAGCGACCGCGAGAGGCAGCTTGCTTCCTCTTTCTTTCTTTCTTTCTTTCTTTCTTTCTTTCTTTCTTTCTTTCTTTCTTTCTTTCTTTCTTTCTTTCTTTCTTTCTTTCTTTCTTTCTTTCTTTCTTCCTTCCTTCCTTCCTTCCTTCCTTCCTTCCTTCCTTCCTTCCTTCCTTCCTTCCTTTTCTTTCTTTTCTTTCTTTCTTTCTTTCTTTTCTTTCTTTCTCTCTCTTTTTCCTCCCTCCCTTCCTTTCTTCCTTCCTTCCTTCCTTCCTTCCTTCCTTCCTTCCTTCCTTCCTTTCTTTCTTTCTTTCTTTCTTTTTTTTTAGCAAAATCAACAGATCCTTTGCCTCTGCGCTTTATGGTGGCTGGCACGTCGTCTGGCTTTCAGTGACGCTGGTGGGATGACAGGGGATCGGTAAGTGGCCTCCCTGTTGGCGTGCCAGGCTTGCTGGCATGTCTGGGGGACTGTCACACCTCCTCACGGAGGCTTTCTCCCTCTTCCCTGGCGGGGCTGACCACAGAGCCCGTGACCACGGACAGCCGTCTCCATGGTTCACGTTCCCACGTTCCCACCTGGAGACACTCCTCAGGCTTTCTGAAAACCAGCAGTGGGTGGATTCACCCCCATCTTTGGCGGTGATCAGATGTGCACACCTGATTTGTGAGTGAGCCTGTTTTCTTTTTTTCCTTCTACTGCCCGGAGACTGCCGAACATGACATAACTTTGTCATGTGGAGCTCCTGAGGCGGGGGTGGCTCCCGGAGAAGCTGGTCCCCGCACAGGCCCAAAAGGGCTCCAGAAGCCCGTCCCCTTCAGCCTCTACTTCCCTACTTCACCCAAGGTCCTTCTCAGTCCCTGTCCAGAAGACACATCAGGATCCAATCATTCTAACTTGGTAACATTTCCAGTTGATTCACATCCCAGGGCTAAGGAAATCTGGACCAGCCCCTTTTTGCAATGATTAACTGCCCCCAAAATATCAACAGGACAGAGTAACTGGGGATTGAGTGGCATTGAGAGGCATTTGATTTCCCCAGGAGCTGAGCATGCTGGTTGGAGATGACTCTGAAGATAGAGTCGCAATGCCACGTCGCTCTTGCCACGTGCTGCGCAGTCACTGGACGTGCACAGGCTGGGACCGAGGGTCTGCTCTTCCGTCTTTGCTTTACTTAAAAATGCCTGCACGTCCTCACCAAGTGGGTTAGTGCTCAGGGCCAAAAGGACAGCAGCCTGGGAGACGGATTTGGTTTAACAGGGAACAAGCATTCATTCTCCAACAGGGGCACCTGGCAACTCCGTAGTGAATGGATCTCTGGCATACAGACCGTGGTGAAGCAGTTGGATCTGCAGACTGAGAAGCCCATCAAAGCTGGGAGCCCCCATGCAGTCCCTAGGGATGGCTGTCTATGTGCAGTTAGCGGAGGGTGTGGACCAAGCCTTCGGAATTTGGGAGCGTAGGAAAAACTAGCTCCCAGGGCGCAGAACATAACTCAGCACGATGCATTCTCAGAAGGTCCAGCTGGAATGCGGCAGGAAATACGGTTTTACTTTTTGGTCTGATGTTGTTTACCACTGACAAGAGCTGAGTCAGGGAGCCTGAGCCACCCACAGCTTGGGTTTTTGGGGGGATCCTCGTGTGACAGAAGGTTGTTCACTGACATCCACCCCATTATCCTAAGTCACTTTTTGACCACAAGATTATACATTCTTAGATGTCATTCTTTTTTTTTTTTTAAGATTTTATTTATTTATTTGAGAGAGAGAATGAGAGAGAGAGAGCATGAGAGGGGGGTGGGTCAGAGGGAGAAGCTGACTCCCCGCCGAGCAGGGAGCCCGATGCGGGGCTCGATCCTGGGACTCCACGATCATGACCTGAGCCGAAGGCAGTTGCTTAACCAACTGAGCCACCCAGGCGCCCTCTTAGATGTCATTCTTACAGCCAAAGATACATCGCCATGATAGAGCTGTTGGCTTGTCCCCAAATAAGAGTACTTAAGCATCATTACACGACTGACATACCACTTTCATTTAGGGAAAGGATCAAGTATCTATCTGCATTGGAGAGTGGATTATTTTCCATTTGCTATGGTGCCTTATTAAAAATACCCTCATAAAACTTTAATATTTATTACATGTTCTGTCATTAGGACACACATCTTGGACACATCAGGAAAGTTGAGAAAGAAAGAAATAGTTGTACTTATTTTATAGTGACCTGAATTTAGCATCAGATGCGAAAATCATGACATGAAATTTTGGTAGAGAGATAAAAGTCAGAGCGCATGCCGAACGATATTAGTGGCAGATGTGATCTTCAGAGGGGTGATGGCATTTCCTCTGAATGGGTGGATATGCCCCTCCGACGGGGATGTTAACATGATTAGCAATGAAAGTATGCTTTGTTCCCTGGCCTTCACGTGGTCTCAATATTGGCACTTATCCTTTACTTGTATTTTTTAAATCACACGTTATCCTGCCCCACGTACAGATGTTGCCTCGGTGCTGTTTAGAACCTCGCCATACAGACGGCTGTTCATAAATATCCAGATCCATGTGCTAAAAATAAGTGCAGTGGGATATATGCTTTTCCCTTTTCCTTAATCCAACTATATACATGTACATACATGCATTCCTATATATACATAAATACCTGATTTTCTCCTTTGGTTTCTATGGCTTTTCAGCCCCAGGACGATTTTTCTTAGCGCCCACGCCCCCTGCGCATAGCTGTCTGCCCCCAGACACCCATTAATTGACTGCAAACACAACTTTATTGCAAAATGACTGCAGCTTTATTAAGCAACTGGATTTACAGGCAATAACATAATCAATATAACATTAATATAGCACATAATTAAATAAGATTCCTACAAGGTCCTGCCTGTATCCCGAAATATACAGAAGTTAATTGTTTTCACCGATGGCATTAACCGGCGGGATTTGAAACCAAACTTGGAAGAACAGAGTCCCCAGTTGTTCTTATGTAAGTATTTCATCTGATGGAAGAGGGAACCATCCCCACAACCCACTGGAATCCGTATCACCATGAATCCCCCAAAGACTCCCTCGCTCCAGGGCCCTGGGGGATAACAGCCACCCAACCAACAAATGCTCTCAGGATGGACTGAGGGGCAAAAGGAAGGTAACAAATTGTACGTAATGAGTTTCCCGACCAGTAGGAAGAGGACCCAGCCCCACGGGCTCTTGGAAAGTTCCTGTAGAATGCGTCACATCTGCTGAAGATGGAACAACTCACACCCCCCGCAATGAAACCAGCCAGTGTTGTCTCCAGAGTCATGTGTTTGTGTTTCAGATTCTGGGAAACCCCGCAGAATGCGTTTGCAGTGGGCCCAGGAGGTGAGGTACCCGGGGAAGGGAGCACGTGAAGTGGGAGCCCTGCAGAGGCGCTCGGCCCGAGCACTGTGCAACAGACAAGCACCGTAGATGGGAAACGACCTGGGGAAAGAGCGGGTCACCGCCATACCTGCACGCACCTCTCACTGCGCTCAGCCTCCCCGCACACTTGGCTCCCACGGGAGCTTCCCGCCTCTGCCCGCTGCAGTCCCGGGAACTCAGACTCCGCTGCTTTAACATTCCGTTTCCCCTCATTACCACCTACCCGACCACCAAAAGTTAAGCGTTAATTCAAGTAAAACAGCTGAAGTGGGTACAGCTCTTATACACAGGAGTGTGCAAAACCATTTAGCCTTTGAGTGCAATGCACAACTAGACGTGATCAGGAAACGGAGGCGTTCTGAGCTCCTTTCCCTCTGGATCCGCTCCTTCCGAGATGCTGATGGGTGGCTTTGCAGAAAGGGCCCCACCCTTGAGAAGGTCAAAGTCTCAGAGGGCAAGCAAAGCAGCTGAAGGCCAGGACACAGGACTCTCTTGTAGAAGGATGTGCGTTGCACATATTAAACGTGAAGCCCAGTCCCCGTCCAGGAACAAAGCGATTGCTATCAATGAAAGTCAGTAGGGGAGTGAATTTCAGCAGGTCCTTGGAAAATCTCTCGATGGAGAAGGTCCTAGAGCCTCAGTATTTCAGGAACGTGGGGTCCTTCACCTGCAAAGGGCACAAAGGTGGTGTGGCCTGGACTGGGAGCGTGGCCGAGGTGAGGCCATGTGGAAACCGCTGGCCACGTCCAGGCCAGGAGGCGAGGGAGGCCGGGGGCCGGCAGCTCCCCACCCCCACCGCCCGTCCAGGGCCACTTCCAGCCGCAGTGAAGACTCCTGTGGGGTCACCGGGGATAAAGCCTGGTCCCAGCAAGGGAGAAGCAAGGAGCTCTGTAGGGCAGGAGTTGAACCCGACCTGAATGTGCCACAGCCACCCCGGCCCAGATCACCCCGCGTCTATGCTGCTCTCTGCCCCCCGGCATTGAGGCAAGGTTCCTGGCTCTCTGAGCCCTGCTAACATGGAGCTCGGGCATCCTCGTGCAAGGCTCCCCATGCACTCACACTGGCCACTGCGCTCCCCTGGCTGGGATCCTCTTCCCCCTGTCCATCCAGGGACAGACTGCAGGGTCCTCACGAAGGGCACTCTGCCTTGTGGGATCCTTGCTCTGCCCGCAAAGGGAGGCTCTCCGTGCTTCACAGAGTCTGGGAGTCCATGCGTATGAGACAGAGCCAGTTTGGGACAGGAGGCGCTCCCAGGGAAGCCCAGCTTCGCCCTCACGACCAGGGAATGTGGGGGTCTGTGGGCTTAAGTTATTGCATTGGCAGCTACGCCAACCAGATGAGCAATGCTGACCCTCCTCCCCTGTCTGGTGCCTTCCCCCCATCACCCCCCGCCCCCCCCAACACACACACACACACTGACCGGGTTATCGGTACCTAAAACGGAGGCACCGTTTGGGAAGTCCCAGAGATCCCTCACATCCCTGACCACCGTGAGCCGGGGGGAGGGCAGAGGGAGTGTCCCAGCCCCTGCGTCCCTCACCCGCCCCCAGGGGGGCCTGTGACCCCTGCGTGCGGAGCCTTGGGAAGTCCGGGTGCGGGAGAGAAAGAAGCAAAGAGGCGCAAAGTGGGCTCCACGGAGGAAAGCGGGCCTGTGGCTCCCGGGGCCTGGAGAGCCAGGAAGACGGAATCGCCGCACGTGTGCAGGGCTATGGATACCCTGTTGTAGGTGGGACCCGAGTGGCCGTGTCCATGGGAAAACAAGCAACTTCTTCCCACGGACAAAATGTGGGAAATGACATGCTAGCTTATCCTTTTTGGGCATAAAAAGACATAGCTAAGAAAAAAAAAAAAATAGCACTGCCTCCTGATGACAGAAAAATCACAACCAGATTTTAAAAAGACATTGGCGTTGGGATAGTGCGGATGTGTTCCCAGGGGTAGTGGGGGCCTCAGGGTGACAGAGGGCCATCGTCGAACGGGGAGTCCAATCCGACAGGGGCACACACCATGGGATGGTTTCCAAAACAGAAGGGCTCCCACAGCCCTAAATGCAGTGTCACTGTCTGTGGAGAAAACACCCCAAACCTTCTCCCATTCCAGGGCCGGGGTCACCCAGGCAGCAGAGGGCAGCTAGAACCCTAAGCTTCCAGGAGATCCTTTACCTGTCCCTCTACCTTTAAAACTAAGCCCAGAAGACCCCAGCCTCACCCGCCTTGTGGGCGGGTTCACGCCGCGACCACCTGTAAGTTACAGCAGCACCTGGAGCCCCACGACTGCTGGGGACACGTCAGGAATTGCAGGATCGTAGTTCAGGTCCAGGATAATAGACACCGTTTCTATCCGTGACTTCTAATCTCCAATCCGCCACGTTCTCCTCGGGCTGCCCTACCGGTGCGCATGGGCAGCCCGCACCTACAAGAAGGCGCTCTGAAGTCACCTCCTCCAGGCTGCCTCACAGTGAGACTCATTGCAGTGGCCCATAACACGAATTGCTTCTGCCGGAACACATGGCCCCAGCACTGCTTTTTGGCTCAGGAAAATGAAAATGAAATCCAGGCAGCTGTGGAGAACATTTTCCTCTACCTGAAAGGACGACTGTCATGCCCTAAGCGTGGGGTCAAGCCCCAGCCCCCCGCCTGGATCTTGCCTTACCTCTCCTTCCAAGATTAGCGTGTTCCTAACACGAAAGGGGCATTCTTACAAGTCCAATATGCCCTGAAACTCAGAGTTAAAGACTTGAGGCAATGTGCAAAGTCAGGGGTAGGGGGTTGTGTGGCTCTGGCAAGACGTATCTTCTGCAGCACAGGAAGTGATGGTGGGCTGGCTTGCAAAGGGGCGCCTGGGTGGCTCAGCCATTAGGCGTCTGCCTTCGGCTCAGGTCATGGCCCAGCGTCCAGGGATCGAGTCCCGCGTCGGGCTCCCTGCTCTGCGGGAAGCCTGCTTCTCCTTCTCCCTCTCCCCCTGCTTGTGTTCTCTCTCTCTCACTGTGTCTCTCTGTGTCAAATAAATAAATAAGATCTTATAAAAAAAAAGAAAAAAAAGATGGCTTGCAAAGCCTTGGAGAGATTCTTGCACACCAAAAGCTTTCCAAATGAGCTCTGATTGTGATAACTGTAAATACATCAGAAACACGTGTACTGAATTCATCTTACTAAAACCACAGTGAAGGTGCCCAACTGCACAGCATTCGAACCCCTCACACTTCCTAGAAATATGTGGGGTTCAAAGTAAGCCTATGAAGGAATACCAAGGCCACATGCTTCTGACTTTTATACCTAAGTTATCAAAATGTCGTTTGTTTATAACAGATATGCGAAGTCCAAGAAGGTCTGGGGTCTTTTTTAGACTTTAAAAAAATAACAACAAAACAAAACAAACAGAATTCCTTCTTAGAATGGGGGAAAAACTATCTCCCAAGAGAAAATGAACTCCAGTCCCTAAAGATTCAGTTGGTATCAAACTTAGCTAAGAAATTCCTTTCTACCTTTATTTGTAAATGCAGGTGACAGGTGCCGAGGGGAGGGACAATGAGGAGGAAGGTGGGCGCAGGGGATCCAGTGGTCCCTCTGGATCTTCACTTTTCCCTGGAAGGTGTCCCATGCCTTGCTCCCCGTGCCCTTCTGGTGGAGGCCAGCTGTGGTCAGCACTCAGCTCTCCTGCTACTGCACTGAGAGGACACTTCAGGAGGCAGATGATCACTCCCACCACCACACATGCCTGCTATGACCGCTTTTCATCAAGCATCCTCAGCTTGCTCTTCGCAGAATCAGGAACTCTCATTCACGCATCTGTTTAGGTAGGTCTCGGGCAACTGTCATCTACTTTTTGAATTCTCAACTGCATGAATAGTAAAAAGGGGAAATGTGATTCACAAGAAAAGGTTAACTATATGCACGAAGAGTCAGCGACCCTCAGACAAAGGGGAGATCCTCACAATGGACTGTCTCAAGATTCTCGAACACAGAGGTAGAAGCCGCCGTGCAGGTAGGCTCCCACCATGAGCGGGGCACAGGGAGCAGGTTTATTTTTCCTTTCTCGGGGCTGCAAGATGACAGATGTCCCTGCTGACCAGGGACAGGGTCAATGTCCTCACGCAGCCCCGCACAGCCACGGCCAAATCTGCAGTGACCAGTGTGGCGGGAGAACTGTGGGACACCTGCATTGCACGGATGCTCCGGAGGATCTCCGTTCTCTGGCGAGCACGACCGATTCTTGCCATTAAAGATGGATGTGTTTGGTTCTGCCATAGAGCCTTCTGGGTCTAGGAAGTTAAAGTGTTAATGAACCAAGAATGGTGATCCCAGCGCCTCTTACTGGCTGATTCCTTAACAAGAAGTAATTCAGGGCAGCTTGGGATCCACCCAGTGTTTCTCCGAGTGTGGATCCCCATCGACTGCAGAATCACCCGGATCTAAAATGCAGATGACTGGGCCCCACCCCACACCTGCTACAACAGAAGTGTGGAGGGGGCTGCTGGGAATATGCTTTTTTTTTTTTTTTTAAGATTTTATTTATTTATTTGACAGAGACAGAGAGAGGGAACACAAGCAGGGGGAGTGGGAGAGGGAGAAGCAGGCTTCCCGCGGAGCAGGGAGCCCGATGCAGGGCTCGATCCCAGGACCCTAGGACCATAACCTGAGCTGAAGGCAGATGCTTAATGACTGAGCCACCCAGGCGCCCCGGGAATATGCTTTCTTGACACATATCCCTAAGGGTCCTGCTGCGCCCTTCGCAGAGGTACGGGGCTGAAGGGTAAGTGGGAAGAATAGGTAGACTGCTCAGGAGGAGGCTCCGAGTTCTGGGCCTCCTCATTCTTTCCAGTCCTTCTTCCTGTGCACCCCCCCTTCTCCCTCCTTCTCCCTCTCCCTTTCTCTCTCTCTCTCTCACACACACACTCACACAACCTGGGCAGCCCCTCTCCGTCCCACTGCCTGTGGTCCCGGAGCTCACCCACGGGATGGCCACGGTCCCCCTGGCTGTTCCATGCATCTGGAGGCAGGGAGGTGGTGCCCACCAGGGCTAAGCCTCAGTTCTCAATGAGGTGAAGCTCCTGGGAGTCCATGCCTACCTGTCAGCTCAGGCGCTCGGTTTACTGGCCAGGAGACCTTCACAACCAGTAAAACCCTCCCATCGACAGGGCTCTGCAAATCCAACTTGACAGATTCCAGTGTCTAATTATTCTCACTGCTGCTGGAAAAGTACTTGATGCTTCTGGGGGCCCCGAAAGGTCCCTCATTGTGCTCCTTTGTACAGAAAAGGGATGTAATTTCTAGCACACTTGGAAGTGTCTCACTCTCATCATCATTACATTTAGCATTTTTTTTTTTTTTCCCCCAACAAATAAGGTGTTGTCTGCTTGGTAATCTGAGGTTAAATTTATAATCTGCATCCCAACACGGTGCTGAGCAAGGAAACCACACTGCTGACCTCGAACGGCCTCACAAAGAAGGATCAGGAGAGCAGAGCTGGGGAAACTCCTGTAGGAAAAGCAAATAAACAAAGGGACATGGAAGGAAAACGTAAACCGTAGGGATGGTGATCCATACAGAATCACAAGAAAGAACAGAAATTCTAAATCAGGGACTAATTAGTCTAAAAATACCCCTAAAATGTTCGAGGTTGGAGGAGTCATTCCCAACCTAATCGGAAGTTAGGGACCAAGAGGTCTGATAAAAGAGTAGCTTCTGCGTTTATTTATATCTGAGCCCCGAGAGGAACGCGGAGAAAACGTGACGTAGATCTGTCCACCCAGCTTAGTTACACGTGACACATGACACACACGCCGAGTGCACACCATGCCTACCCACCCAGGGCCACGGAGGCCCCTTTGGGGTGCAGCCCACATAACAGCCGAGATCCACCCTTCTCTTCATGGCCTTGCATGGGTGTGAGTGCATCAAACCGTCCTCGGCCGGGAGTCCTGGTGTCAGGCTCGGGGTAGGAGGATCAGCCACATCACTGGGGTGGTGTATGCTATTTTAAGTGGTAGATCTCTCAGCCAGAAACCAGCTGAAATTCTAGCCACATGTCCTCCACAAGGTGGTTCCACTTAGGAACAATAAGTAAACACATGCATTTATAAACAAATAAATAAGAACTGTACACAAGAGGAAAGAGCCTTAGCAGAAACCCGAACTTTCCCTGCACATCCTCCTCTGAAAGCCCATGTTTCCAATTATGCCATACTGAAGCTATATTAATGCTAATATGTTTGCATTGCTGGCTTTCATTTTATTTTTTTACAACTCACCGCAGGATAGTGAAGTCAAAAATATACCATTCTCATCAACAGGACACATCTGCAGTGAATCCACACAGAAGCAATTAATTTCCTGGTGGTATTTTTACACTGGGGGCTGATGCAGGTCCCCGTTATACAAACAAAAACTCCAGACAGCTACTGCTGCCTGATAAAAAATAAATCTGATGGCGGAGGGCTGTTTGGCCTGGGACTGCTACAGGCTATGACTTGTAATGAGGCTCCCAACGCTAATTATGAAGCTTATTAAAGAGAACTGGACAACTTGTCCTAGAGTGCAGACTGTGCTCATGCTGAAGAAGGCGGGCCCCGGCACACGCGGCCCACAGGCACCTGGCTCAGCGGAGGGGACCGGCCGGCACAGCCAGGGGGTGGATCAGATTCAACAGCAACTGTAGGACTGTGTTTGGCAAAGCGGTCAGGATAAACCTGATAGAGGGGCAGGTGAGAATCCCAGCCGCCTGCTGGTGCTTCACACACCAGAGCCTTCCATCCTAGCGAACATCTGCGGGGCAGGGTGCAGGAGGCCGTCCAAGGCGACGCTGACGCTCACCCGCACGGTGTTCCATTGTTACACTTACTCTGAACCCCGGATCTTCTCTGGATCTGAATGCAGAGGCATGATTTCAGTGCACTCTTTCAGGAGGGTAGGGGAAAGAAAAGATTAATAAAGATGTTATGAGCCTGAACCGCTGTGAGATTTGTTTAATTATTCCCCACAGGACTGCCCCAGCAATCTGCTGACATTTAGCCCCGACCTTGCAAATCCTCGGTAAATATTAATATATCAACTCAAACAGGGACCGTTGTTTTATTGGTTCACGGAGCTCAGAGAGATTCGCCACAGCGGTAGGAAATAATGTGCAGAAGTGAGGAGGACGGGCTGCTTTGATCCCACCTTCTGCTGCACACATGAGCTGGGGACATCGACAAAATGGCAATGCTGTTCTTCGCTGCAGCTGCAGTGACTCTTCAGATGCCTTCGCTTCCCTTTGTACAGCCTGCTGGAATCATCCCAAAACCACAGTGGCAAAAGATTAGAAAGGAGGGAGAGGAGGCCGGCAGAGAAATCGCACGGTATTATCTACAAGACTGGAAATTTTAATCACGGGGAAGAAGGTCCGAGCTCCAATCAGACGGCCTTTGCCACAAGAGTGGGCCCAGGACAAGGGCGAGGAAGGGGAAAGCATCCTTCCTCCAGCCAGGGGACCAGCCTCCCTCTACCTCCTCCATCACCGACCACTGCCCTCCAGGACCCAGGTCCACACAAGCCCATGTGCATATCTGAGAAGGAAAAGTATAGCCCGTTTTGACCGAGAGTTTGCTATGGGGGGGTTGGGGGGGGGGAGATTGCCTTTTAATTTTTCCCTGCATGCGCTTTTGATGGTGGTATTTGGGGAGGTTTTATTTTCCTTGTCTCAAAATTATCCGTTATTGACTCATCTCCTCAAAAATCATCTCAAATTCCTAGAGGCTGAATGTTTGCCCGGGGCCAAGGAGGTCCCCAAAGTTCTTGGGTGTAAGGAAGAGGGCTGCCCGGGGCCACATTTGGCTTTCAGATGTACTGGGCTGCAGAGTCAATGCGTGATTAATTTTATTCATAAAAATGTTAATCACTTCATTGTGAGATCTTTTTAACATTCAGTGCGGGAGCACCTTTTTAATTTCTCTTGCCCACCGTCTCGCAGATGTATTTAATATTTCCAGGCACTGCTGCAGCTATCCGAGGACGCGGCAATTAAGCATCCGTTTAAAATTCAAACAACAACCGAAGCTACAGCAGCGACAAACAAGCAAACAGGAAAGACAGGGCGGAAAGGCGGGCGCCGAGCCTGCCAGTGGCGGAGGGGAGCGCGGGCTGAGCCGGCGCGCCGCCCCTGGGACCCCTGCCCGCAGCGCCAGGGCGCACCAGCGCGCGGGGCCCCCGCTCCAGGGAGCCTCGCCCTGCTCGGAAGGCAGGTTCAGCTGGACGGAATTAGGAGTGAAAGCTCTTCGGTTAAGCCTTAAACTGCCGTGGCCTTATCCGCCGCCAGGCAGGGACTCCGGGCCGCTGGGGACCCCGGGGACGGCGGGACAATGGGGTGGGCGACCAGAGGCGGGCTGCGTGCGCCGGCTCCCCCCACCAGACCCCGCGGTGCAGTCCGGCCATTGTGCCCCCGCATCCAAGCCTTGGGCTCAGGTCGCCGGATAAATGGATTAGGGGCTCAGGGACTCACGCGGCGTCTTCAAAAGCCAAACAGAGCACCGAAAGGGCTGTCCCTTGCGCCCCGCCCCGGGGCTCGGGCCACTGCTCGGCCTCCGCCCGCGCCCCCTGCCCGCGCCCCCTGCCCGCGCCCCCGGGGCCGCTGCGCTCTCGCTGATCCGCGTGATTCGGGCCCCCAGCCTGGGCGCCCCGGCCGAGGGCTGGGAGGCCCTGCGTTGGACAGACACATCCAGGCGCGCAGCTCCGTCTGTGCTCCCCTTCGGGGTTCTGGGCCACCTCACTCCTCGGACTCCCCATTCAAGATACTTCCAGAGTTTTAGGCCGCTCCAGGGGCCTCCTCTGCCACTTCTGTGGGCGGTGGGCCTCTTTCTCCGTGGAAAACAAATGTTAAAATATACATGTTACAACTGCTGTTGGCATAAAGATGAGTATCTTGGTATATTATATAGCAACACTTTGTCCTGAAAGTTACTTTTTTGTTTGTTTGTTTCTTTTCATTTGAGAATAAATTAGAACATTTTCCTGGGTATCTAAAAGCATTGTGGGCAGCAGTTCTTGTGGTCACTGTCCTGATAGGTCAGCCCACCTCCTCTGCCCCACTCTGTGCTCACTCTAAGACAGACCACTGCCCATTTTCAGAGTCCTTAGAGAGGGCAGGGGATAGGTACCCAGCTTCCTTAGCTGGGGCACAAAAGGATGCCAGCAGTCCCCCTGGGTTGACCTTGGGAGGCCTTTCAGCTCTGGAACTATAATTGGAGCCCCTGGCCAGTGGACACCCTGGAGAAGACCTGGAAAGCTCACCACGCCCCACCTGGCTGAGTGGGGCGTGGAATTGGTACAGGGCTTCTAACTGGAGACCATTCACCCAATGCCTGCGCCAGGATGGGCACTCAGAGGCAAGGAAACGTGTCCAGGGGCATTGCTCCATCCACAAGGACTTTGGGAGACCCCTGCAGGGGGCTGGGTGCTGCCACCTCCCCCAAGACACACTCCCTCTACCTCCTAGCTCTTTCCTCTGGTCATCCACTCTGGAATCTTGCCCTCCCCACCTGGAGACACAATCTGCAAGATGAGCCAGGACTGTCCTCCAGGATGCTTCCCTGGGGCCTGCTAAGTCATGGGGCCACAAGGCATGTGCTCAGTGTCAGGTACCCCAGATTTTCCTCTCTCAGGTCCCTGGAAACCTGAGAGCCCAGCTGATTGGTGTCACAGTGCTCGGTCCTGCACGTGGCCCATGCAGCACAAGTCTGGTGGGAGGAGACCACCAGAGGTTCCAAGGGCCTTCCATGTCCCTACTGCCCACATACTCTAAACCTATTCAGAGCTGCCCCCACCCAGCAACCATGCGCTTGGCTTCCTCCCCTCCTTTCCAAACTCCAACCTGGGGGATGCAAGATTAATATCCCATTCTCCACGGCAAACTGGACCCTGTCACTTTCGGGAGAGCATTCCTGGCTCCACTCTCCAAATCAGTGTCCATAAATCCTTGGTCTCCAGCCGGCAGCCACAGTCCTACCCAGACCCTGGCTGGGAGCAGCCAGGCAACTTCTAGCCTGCTTGCACCATCCAGAAGGAAAAGAAAGAGGGCAGCTGGGTCAGACCAGAACCTCATTCCCCAACTCAGGAGAAGGGATGTGGCAGAGGGGTCAGAGCCAGCCAGCCTCCACGTTTGGGGGCTGAGGGCCAGCGTCTGTCCCAGGGCACCCGGACACTGTGGCCACCCTGCCCTTTCTCTCTCCTTTCTCCTCCCTCTTTCCCTCTCTGGCTTCTTGGCTCTCTAGCAGAGCCCCATCTACAAGGACGACTGAAACTTTATAGGGCATGATTCATCGGGTGGCGCGCCCCTCGGAGCCATGGCGCGTATTACATTAATCAGTGTCAGAGCACTAAAACCGAGATATGAATATGAATTCTCCATATTGCAGGCGAGATAAATGTGCTGGTGAATATAATTGATCGAAGGAGGGAGGGATGGATGGTGGGAACAGAGAGATTTCAGACTCCAGCATCCAGGGGTTCAATGACGGGTGGGACCTGTGCCCACCCCCCAAGTCTTCAAGCTAGGAACATGGGGTAGGAGGGGAGAATCTAGAAGGTATGAGCTTCTGACTGTCTCCTTGTCACAGGCCTGCACTGGAGCAGGAAGGGGAGGGTCTCCGCACAGGATTTCATACCCTTCCCTACCAGAAGAGTCAATAGACAGAAATCCCCTGCCCCAGACACAGGCTGTCCTTTCTAGTTCCCCATCAGAGGAGGGGGCACCAAGTTACAAATATTAATCCCGTGGACATCCCTCACTCCTACCCCTTTTTGGCTTCAAACTCCTCCTTGCCAGAAACTGTCCCTAAGCAGGCGTAGAGTATTAAAGCACCTTCGCACAGGCGGAAAGTTCCAGAAGAACTTCTGCTTCGGCTTTAGAAGAAAAAGTGGTTTCTAGGTCTACTCCCAGATATTTCAGGAACTGAAACAGCATGCACAGCAGGTGCTCCCACTGGGGAGCCACGCACCCTCGCATGCACGCTCAGGTGGCTGTGGTGGTGGGGGGAGGGTGGTTACAAATCATGCACAAAGAACAAAAATGATTTTTCAATGCTTGATTAAAAATTCATCTCTACCTTTTCACACGAGCAAAATAATTCTGAGGACGGAGGTCTGATTTCTTTGCATGGGAAACTTCTGTCAGCAGGGGGGAGCACAGACCCTTCAGGACTTCTAGACCACTGGGTTCTCAGGCATGGGACTCAGCTGGTGAGCACATGCTGGTCCAGGCCCCTGGGCAGCAGCATTCAGGGGTCCCAAAAGTATTGAACAGGAAGAAAGAAAAGAACAGAGATATGGGGTGTGCAAGCAGCCGAGGCCTGCGTGGGCCAGCCTATTTGATTCTGGGAAATGAAAGCACGGAGGCTGCCGGCAGCAGAGGACTCCGCCACCCACCTGAATCCCACCTGATGCTTCCAGCAGTTACCCAGGAGGGATCTACCAGCGCACTGTGGATGACAGGGCACCATGTCCCTGCGCCAAGAATGCCATTCCTCATCACAGCAGCAAGATACCCCTGGTCGAAACTCTCTCGATCGCACTCTTGCCAAGTACACAGGATCCATCTGTCCCCAGTGGTCAGGGTGGGATGTGAGGACCCATCCCAGCTCTGGACTGGGGAGCTGAGGGTGCAATGACCCCTGAAGCCCTAGTGTCCAGGGCAGAACAGGAACTCCTCTCCAAATTTCCAAGTTCCACCCTGACAATGAAAGCGCCCTGCCTGGGACCTGGCACCCACACCCTCCCCACAAAAGCCAGTAGTCCAACCAGCAGGCCTGCCACAGCACCCCCAAATTCAAACAACTGGTGGTACCCAAGAGCACACAGAAAGCCAGACCACCACAAATCCAGGCTCCTACCCACGGCAACTCCGAGGCCCAGCACCCCAGATCATGTGCCATGCCCCAAGGAGCCCCATCAACGCCGCGGTCAGGACCCCATTCCGCTTCCAGCCCATAGAGGGCGCGCCGAGCACGTCCATTCGGACTGGAAGCGTCTCCACCGTGGCAGCAGCCCCTGCGTACCCGCAGGCGGCCAGCCCTTCGCCAGGCTCCGCGGCCCCACTCCTCCCGCGCTTCCACACGGCCCGCACCCTCACGTGCCGCCTGCATGCTCTCCCGCCGCCTTCGCGCCTCCCCTCGCCACTCTTCCTCCAGCCTCGGGGGCGGGGAGGGGACCCCTTCCTCTGAAAGGACGGGGACGGGGTGGGTGGGGGGTGGAGAAGACGCAGGCGTCCGTAAAAGGGCAGTCAGTCCCGGGTGGCGTGGATCCCCAGGTCCTCAGTGCGAGCCGCCCCTTCCCCCGCACAGAGGAGCCAGGGACAGAGAGCCGCGCCCAGACTTTCCCCTTTCGTCGAGGCGCCCCTCGCCGCCACTGGCAGGCCCCAGGCAGCTGGTGCTGACTATCCAGCCTCGGCGGGGATTGGGGAGGTCCTGTCCTGCATCAGGGACTAGGCTTCTTTCCCACTGGGCAGGTTACCCTGCAGCTCACATCCTCACTGAGGATTTTGTTAATGCTTGTATTCTCAGTTTTCACGAATTCTGCATAAAGTCATCTGTGCCCTGTTTGACATGCAGCTGTGGTGGCCAGTCCCCTCCGAGCGCTCTTGGAGTCGGGGAACCCTGACCACTGTGATCCCCCAAGGTCCTGGGCCATTTCCCACCCATGCACATCCGAGGCCAGCTCAGTCCCGCATTGTCCTACCATCATTCCCAGCTACCTCCCAGACCCTGCCACCCGAGGTTTGTTTTTCCTCTGCTCTCTTGGTGTGCCCATCCAAGGCTCTTGAGTTTAAAGGGGGGTCCCTGGGAAACCAAAGCCCCCACCCCTCTTTCTCATCCCGAAAGGCTACCTCAGCTTCCTGGCTCACAAGCCCAGAGAACTCCCGAGCTGCATCTTTCTGCCCGCCCATTAGGACATTTTAAAAGAGCCTTCCAATCTCTCTCCACGTTTGATTTAACCAAGTAACTAAAAAATATATTCAAAGCCAAAATTTCATACTCCATTATGTCCTCACTCTACCCACCAAACGAACCGACGCCAGGATGCACTGTTGAGACAACTAGTTATAAATTGATTTCAAATCCGAAGTTCTCCTTTGGGGACATAATTGGAAATTCTTTTCATTTTTCCCCCATTGTTGCCCACTTTAAGAAATCATTTTATAAACTGCTGAAAATCGAAGTCATTTATGTCCCGAGAAAGGCGTGCCCTCGATAAATGTCTAAGGGTTGGAAAGAATTAAACTGCCTACAAAGAAACTGCCCTGGTGATATTAACAAATTCAACCACCACCAAAAGACTGTGAGAAATACTGGCCTCCGCCGGCAGAAACTCCCCAAGGAGCCTCTCTTCCCAAAGCCAGGGGCATCTGGGCCCTGCCAGCATTGCAGGATTCCGGACACTCCGGCAGACACCCAGCCACACACAGCAGGGGGGCAGTGGGCATCATTTCATTTAGTTTATTAGACAAAAATATATGATTTAGACAAGTTCGCTGACGCGCTATTTACAATCTGAAATCACTCTATATACAGAAAGAAGGAAGGAAGAAAAAAAAAAAAAAAAAAAGACACAAGCACGTGGGGCATTTACCGAGCTGATAGTGAACCAGAGCATGGTGCCAGCCACCAGAGCCAAGGGCAGAGGCCAGGCTGCCTGCACTGGAGCTCGGGCAGGACGAGCCCCTTTCTGCAGAAAGCGATGGATGGGAGTCCTCGACGTCGTGGCCATATTTGTCCGTTACACCAGTCTGAAATATTTGTCCTAATTCCTCCCTCCTCCCCTCCCTCCCGAACTCCTCCCCCCTCCCCCCGCAAATGTAAAAGAAGACCCTGAATCAGGCCGACGGGAGGGCTGCTAGGATCCGGGGCGTTCCCTCCTGGGGGGCCAGCGAGCTGCAGGGGAAACACAGCGAGACAAGAAGAACAAGAAGGGTCAGTGGATGGACGCTGGGACCCGGCGTCACCGGTTCTGTCAGCCCAGCGCCTGGGGGCGTGGTCGCCCGCCCCGCACGGCTCCCGGGTTGGGAGAAACCCGGAGGAGCCAGAGGGCCCCGCGCGCCGGGCTGGTGGACAGCACCCCTTCCACAAAGACTGTCAGACCCTCCCGGCTGGCCCCGCTCAGCCCTCCAGCCCCCTACCCCCCTCCCCCGCACCCCACCCCCGCGCCAGCCGCGGCCAACGGAGAGTACAAGCAAACAGCACTCACTTGTCGCGCACGGGCTGGAAGGGCGATTTTAACTGCTGTGCCGGCGAGTCCGGCCTGGGGACGAGGTCTCTCTCTGCGAGGGAGAGGGAGAAGCCGAGCATTAAGAGACAGGTGGGGGGGGGGGGTTGCTGCCGAGGTGCTCAAGCCTCTTCCCCACCCACCCCCTCCCTCTCACAACAAGGGTAGGGTCTCCAAGAAAATCCTTCACCTTCCCTAGGCAGGCCTGCAGGTAGAACTCAGCTCTCCTGACGGAGCCTAGGGCCTTGGCCTCAGTCCCCTAATCCAGGCCGAGATTACGGCTCATCCCGGGTTTGGCTGCTACCGCCTCTCCCCTCCCCGGCCGGCGCTCCCCCACCCCCACAATAGGCCGGGGTTCCGGATTCCTGGGGTGGGGCGGACACCCCTGGGCACAATACCTGGGAGCGCGGGGCTGCTGCGAGCAGAGGCCTTGTCACCATGGAGCACCCCTGTAGCCACGGCGACCGGCGGCTGCGGCGGCGGCGGCGCAGGCAGGTGCGAGCCGTGGGGCGCGGCGTGGGGCGCGCCGACGCCCAGGAAGGAGCGCATGTTGAGCAGGGAGCCCTGCGCGAGGAACGCTCCGTTGGTCCAGTTGGAGAATTTGCCGATGTGGCAGGTGTACAGTCCGTGGCTGGGCAGGAAGGCGGGGTGTTGCAGCGGCGTGCCCGCGGGGGGCCCATGCGCGCCGGGATGGCCGGCGGGAGGCGGCGGCGAGGCCTTGGGCGCGCCGTCGGGGCTTGTGGCCGTTTCGGCCAAGGACCAGATCTTGGGCTTGCTGTGCGGCGCGCCCTGCAGGCCACCCGACGTGGCGCCGGGACCCAGCAGGCGCGTGCTGCCAGGCTCCGGGACCTCCTTGACCAGGCCCAGGGGCGAGTCCTGGGACTTGAGCGCGTCGGCGGCTGCTAGCGGCGAGCCCTGGTCCCGAGCAAGGGCTGTAGGTGCCGCGGGCGCGCGCGGCGCCTCGGCCTTGTCCTCCTCGTCCTCATTGCTCTGGTCGCCGTCGTGTTCGTCGATTTTGTCGATGTCAATGCTCTCCAGGTCGATCTCCTCATCGTCCTCAGCCTTCTCTGGGTCGCCCTCCGTATCGCTTCCGAAGAGGGCTCCGTCCTCCTGGTCCTTGCTGCGCGCGCCCCACGTCACCTTGTTCTCCTTCTTGAGGCGCCGGCGCGCGTTGGCGAACCAGGTGGAGACCTGCGTGAGGGTCATCTTGGTGATGATGGCCAGCATGATCTTCTCGCCCTTGGTGGGGTAGGGGTTCTTGCGGTGCTCGTTGAGCCAGGCCTTGAGCGTGCTGGTGCTCTCGCGCGTGGCGTTCTTGGGCCGCCCGGGATCCCCGTACTGGAACTGGCCATAGGGGTAGTAGGCTGGCGCCGTGTGGGCTGCGAAGGTGGCAGGGTGCACCCCGGGGTTGTCTTTGAGTTCATATTGTGAGCCCTGCAACCACAAAGCCCACGGAGGGAGGAGAGAGAGAGAGTAGGGGTGTGGGGGTGGAGAGAGAAAGAGAGAAAGAGAGCGCGATGAGTCCCCAAAACTAGTAAAGTCAGGGGCAGCTGCTCTTGTCAGCTCAAGAACACGAAGGCCCCCAGTGCACCACCCAGGGAGGAAGTGACTGGCCGGAATCTTCAGCCTCCTCTAAAAACTGAGCTTCCAACCTTCATGAAGAGGTTGTTTTTGTTTTGTTTTGTTGTTGTTGGTTTTATTTTTATTATTTTTTGTCACTCAAGAGAAGTTCCAGAATCTGTGCATTTCCAGAAGATCACAGCAGGAGCCATGGCCCCACAGAATTTCCCTAGGAGTCCCTCAGTCCTCCCACCCCCACCACCCACAATAACTTCAACAGCCTTAATTTCCAAGTTTATCTCACACTAACTAGAAAGGAAAACCTTTTAACTGCGCTGATAAAACAGTTTCTCCAAATGTAAAGAACCTAAAGCCTAAGCCCCCTCTGACCCTGAGGGGGTCAAGCAAAATAAACCATCTCGGGTTTTCTTTGGGTCCAAATCCACCAGCAATTTAAAATGAAAGCACACTCCTTTTAGCTCCCAAATTAATCTGCATATAATGGTTCCCCACACTTAAAGGTCGACAGTGGTGACCGGTAATTTAAAATTTTAATCCTGGCCATCATCAACAACAATAACAAAAACACCATTTGTTTTTTTTTAAATACAAAAGGAGGGCTTAACCCGTAAAATATTAACGCGAGGGCCCGGGAGTCCCGGCTGTGTGAAGGGGTACTGCTCTCCTAGGCCTATTCTCACTTAGTTTATCTCTGAAGTTTGACTGTGATGTGGCAAGAGGAAGCTCAAACTGCAAGCATTTAGAGGCCGTGATTTATTTGCGATCAATACTCTTTTTATCATCTGTAGTAAAACACAGCAAGTCAAATTATCCCATCAGGTTTTTTGGTAAATAACATTTTATCTTTCTAACAACCTCATTAGGCCTCATTATTACCATAAATTGCCCAGACAGACATTCATTCACAATTTTATCTTTTGACTTCCAAATCCCCAATCATAACGGCTTGGAAACGTAGGCCTAGACTCAAGAGTTTGGGTTTAGGCGTACTCTCTGAGAACCAGAGGGAGAGCACACGCCTTTTGGGGGAGATTTCTATATGGTTTCCCTTTAGTTAAAAAAAAAAAAAAAAAAAAAAAAAATCGAGTTATCTCCCTTCCCCACCACACTACAATGGGAGCAGATCCCAACACACAGCTCCCTTTCTCTCCTACAAACATGGGGGGTGGGGGCAGCAAATGGCACATATCTGTGTTCAAAATTTCTGTTAAAAAATTATAGTTCTCCAAATAAATATGGTCCAACTGCTATGTTAGCAGAGGGGGTTTCCAGGCTGAGAAAGTTGTAAAGAGCAGAATATTTCTTTGACTAGTTTGCTTCGTGGTGGATGCCGCAGAGGAAAGGTTGCTCTGGCCGGATTTCGTTTTTGCCCCATCTTTGCAAAACGCACTTTGCACTTCTCTAATTATTTTGGTTGTAACTGTAAGGACGACATTTCGGCCTCTTCTCTGCCGGGAATTCTTTTTGAAAGGATACCTTGTAAATCTCTCATCGCTTCCCCGGCATCCCCAGCCGCCAGAACAAAATGGGAGCTGATCTTTTTCGATAGCCAGCGATCTCAAAAGCAGCTGGGGCTGCTTTCAGAGAAACAGTCTTTCTTTTCAAAACTACAAGAAAAAGTTACAGGAAAACACAGCAGCCGCTCTTCTCGCGTACAGTTGGCCGGCATTTATTTCCTGACTCTTCTTCGGGGAGAGGGAAGGCGTGGGGGGTGCCTGCAGAGTGCGTTATCCCGCCCGCAGCAGCGCGAGCGGGGGCTGCCTCCCTGGCCCCTGCGCCCCGCGCGCAGTTCAGCAGCCTCCCGAAGCTTAAGCGCGACCCTGCAGTCAGGCCAGGGAAGATGGACCCTTCGGACCGACAGAATGGCGAATGCCCCGCGGAGAATTACATTTGCAGCTCCCTCCCCCATCTGACACCCACTGGGACGGGAGACCAAGAGGACAGTGTTTATTTTAAGCCCCGGGACTCTCTTTTCTTTAACCCTCCATTATGTAACGCGGAAAGAAAAGTGCTTTCCATTCTGTGCAAAAGAAATGAAAACTTCGGCGACTTACGAAAGTCAAACCAAACACCGCTTCGGACGCCAAAACTATTTCCACTTTTTCTCCCCCCTAAATCTCAAATGTGCGCACACTGCATTAGGAGACCCCATCCGGCCCGTCTGATCGCCCCATTGTTAGGTTTATTTTGACCACCTCTACTAGGCTTTCCAGGGCTCCATCGGGCAAAGTCGGACAAAGCTAGAGGAGGTCCACCGAAGCGGGAGAGAACGGGGTCTCCCCGGCCCGGCCCCAAAGCCGCAGAGGTCGCGCGAGCCGGGGGCGCGAGCGACTCTGGCCCCAACCTCCGGCCCGAGCCGCGCGCCGCGGGCCCGCTCCTCCGGCCTCCGGCCTCCCGCCGAGAGCCCCGCTCGCGGCCCAGGCCTCGCGCTTCCCCGGCCGAGCCGCAGGGGCCGTTAGCGGCCGGCCCGCCGGCTCCCCCGCCGCCCGCCGCCTCGGGCCCTCGGGCCAGGCCTCCCCCGCTGCCCCCCGGGCCGGCTCCGCCCGCGCGCCCGCCCTGCCTCCGCGCGCCGCGCCGCCTGGCCACGCGCGCCCCGGGCGCCCGGGCCGGCGGGGGCGGCGGCCGAGGCGAGGGACGCGGGCAGGCCCGGCGCACTCACCATCTGCGAGAAGAGGCTGAGGTCGGCGGCGTAGGGCAGGAACGCGCTGTAGCTGGGCGCGCCCGCGTACGGGCCGGCCGCCGCGTACATGCCCAGCACCGAGGTGACGGCGGCCGCCCCCGCCCCCGCGCCCAGCTCCGCCGCCCCCGGCCGGCCCGACGAGGCGGCGGCGGCGGCGGCCGCAGCCGCGGCCAGGACCCCCGGGCGCTCGCCGCCGTAGGCGCCGGGCCCCGCGGCGCTCAGGTACTGCGGGTAGCCCAGCTGCGGGAAGGACATGTCCGCGGCGCGGCGGCGGCGCGGCGGCGGGCGAGTATTAAAGGGGCGGGGGCGGGGGCGGGGGCGGGGGGACGGGCGGCAGGCCGGGCGCGCTCGGGCCGGCCCGCGGGCGGGGCCCGGTGGCTGCTGCTCGGCCCGGGGCTCGCTGGCGCCCGGCTCCCGGCTGCGCCCGGCTCCGCGATCCGCGCCGACTGCGGCGGCCGCCCTCCGCTCGCGCGGCGAGGCTTCCCGACACGATTTGAAGTTGATGCTTTGATTGGCATCCCCTTGAGCGCCGGCCCCGCCCCCGGCTCCCCGCCCGCCCCCTCCCTGCCTCCCGCCCCGCCCGGCGAGCACGTGGTGCTCCGCGCCGGCCGGGCCACCTCCGCCTGCTGTGGGCGCGCGCGCGGCCCGGCGCACCCGGCGGCCGCGGGCTCCTTGCCGCGCTCCCGCGGCTGTCTGACGACCCGTCGACGCCGGCTTTCGGCGGTCGGACCCGGGGCTGGCTGTTTCCGAGCCGAGGCGGGTCTGCCCCTTCAGGAAAACATCTCGGCGCCTGTCTCCCCGCCCCGGGGGCGGCGGGGCCGGCGCTGGGGCGGTGACAGCCGGCGGGAAGGGCCTCTCCGCCGCGGTCGGCGCTGCCTCGGCCTCCCCAGACGCCTTTGGCAGAAGCGCACCCGGCGCCCCGGGTGCGGCGCGGAACCTGGCGTGGTGACACGCTGACGCGGGCGCGCCGTCTGCGGGGCCCCCACTGGGCAGGAACTGGCCACCTGGCAGTGACCGGCCTCGCTGCACGCGGGTAGGCGGGAAGCCGCAGAGCTCTGCGGGCTTTTCTATCGTGAAAACTTTGAGAAGGGGCAGCTGAGAAGCCACTTCAAGGGGAAAGCGGACGCAGTCCACAGCGACAGGTTCCTGGAGATGGGGGTGGGACCTTTTCTTTGCTGGAACATCACCGCTGCAGCGCGAGGGAAACGTTCAGCCCCCACCGCGGTGATGGGAGAAGCTAAGTGTGGCTTGGGAGCCCCTCCTCTGTCTGCTAGGTGTGCACACTCAGGAAGTAAACTTGCGTGGAGAGCGCCCGCCCAAGGCGACGCTGCGACCAGCCTGGGAACAGGGCGTTCCTCTTCTCCTTCCCTCTCTCTCCTCCATCCTCAGCTGGCCGGAAGAGCAAGCGGACACTGCCATGACCCCACGCTCTGGTGGGGAGGTCCAGATGCCTCCTCGCCTCCCTGTGCATGGGACATCTCTAGGGCAGGCCGCTTCTGCCATACACTGGCCAGCTTGTTCCTGGCGGATGGGGGAGGGAGTGGGCCCAGGTTACCTGCCCAGGTTCCTGGGGCCACTTTTCCTCCTATCTCCTACTAAGCAGCCAGTGCCTGGCTTGCACTCCCTGCACACTGGACCCTGCAGGAATTTCACCCACGCACTCAGCTGTCAGCCTTGGTTTGGCCAGTTAGGTCCCCGGAGTGGAGGCTGGCCTCTGGGCCCAGTCCTCAGCATGCTGTGCTGCTGGTGACCTGGGCCACCCGCACACTGGACCCTGACCTGTCCCGCAACCCCTAGTTCTCCTCCAATCTCCTGGATCATGGAGGCCCAGTGACTCTTGAACCATCAGGAAGGCTCTCATTTCCCCATTTTTGGGGCCTGAGGACAGACAGGGAGTCACTGCCTATAATTAGCAACAATAACTCCATAATAGTAATTACTAATTACCAGCTCCATAATCAGGCTTTTATTTCTCTGCTCAGTCAGGTTTTCTTCCTGTTCATGCTGCCCCTTCACTCCTTCCCCTACCCCCGCCCCACCTCCACTAACTAGCCCTTGCTCACTCTAGAAACCTCCTGCAACTATCTGGACACCTTTCCTGCTTTGACACAGATTCTGGGGTGCTGGAGGTGAGCACTAACCACTCCCAATCCTGGAAGTCATTAAAGGGAAGCTTCCTCCTGCCCCCCTCTCCCCGGCCACCATCTCCCTGGCTGCCAAAACCCTCTCTCCTACCTCCCAAACAAACCAGTGGGCCAGTCCCACCGCTGTCCTGTTTAGCAAACTTCAGTGTCACATTTCAGGGTGACAGGTAAAGACAGGTGAGATAAGCCCTCTTCCATGACCTGGAGAGCAAGTGGAATGTAAGCCCAGAGAAACTTGTCAGTGTCGGGATTCAGCCACATGGATCGATCCTCCTTCCCACTCTCCACCTGCAGCCTGCAGGCCATTTCAGTGGTACTGTAGCGATCAGAACCTGAGGGTGGTGGATGTGGGCAGCAGATTTTGTCCTTACCTCCCCCCACAGTCACCTGCTGTGCCCTGCCTATATCACCTGCACTTGGGTTATGACAAGATAGAAGGTTCTAGAAGACATCAGGGAGGTGAAGGAGAAGGGCCCTCCTGAAAACCACGTCTGAGGATTCCACTGTAGTGGGAGAATTGGCTCTAGAAAAGCCTGTGGACTTCTGCCAGGAAGCCCTGGAAAGGTGCCTTAGTTCTGACTGTGACCATTCTCTGCCCAAGGCCAGGGCTGGATCCCAGCAGAGCCTGGGTGTACCCCCTGGCTCACCTCCTCCCTTAATTCTCCTTGAGCTTTACCCAAAATTTTGCATGAAGAAAACTAGGAAGCCACCTGCCAAAAAAAAAAAAGGAGCGGGGGAAGGAAACTGCCTCCAAACCATCCCACTGGAGAGGAGGAGGAAAAGAGAAGGATCCAGAACTTCCTGGCTCAGTGTCCCCATGGAGAAGATCATCCCACCAACCCTCTAATCCTTGTTAGCATCAAATAGTTAATGGGGCTGAGGAAGGAAAACCCAGGGTGCCTGAGCCTGGACCTTGGGCCTCACTTGAACATTTGCTTAAGGGGAATCCAGAACTTTCCCCAAAGAAGATGGCCCAGCTCACTTGCTCAGCCATTCTGGGGCCCTGGTCATCCCTCTGATGGCAGAGAAGCAGGGACAAATAGGAGGGCCAGGCAGGGTCCTTTTTGGGCTCAGTGGCACTGGCTGGGGACAAGCTGTGGGGTTCTACCAGCCCACAGCCATGCTGCTCTGGATCCATAAGCCGGGAGAAACCACCTTCACAGACCCTCAGCCACCGTCTCCACCTGGCAAGGGGTGGTAGGAAGGCCCCATCACTAGTCAGGAGGCCTCAGGAGTGGGGGGGAGTGGGAAGGGGGCAGGGGGTTGGGGGGGGAGCCCCTCCCCCTTCCTTGTGGTGGGCCAACCAAGGTCCCAGAGCCAGAGGCAGGACTGCGGACCAGCCATATACAAAGCCAGTCTAGGGGTCGCTGCATGGCTGAATCAGAGCTCCAAGTGGTCTGTGTTCTGTCTCAGGTTGGGGAGGGAGAGCAAGGATGCCCACTCAGGGACCCGAGACAGTTGGACCAGGTCATGGGTGCAACCAGGCAGAGCTGGGCAGTGGTGGTTGGTCCGGGCCTTGTGACTGGAAAGCCCGGACCCTCGGCATCCCTGGCTAGGACCTGGGCTTCCGGTGCCCCGGTGGTTGGGCAGGGCACCTGAGTGCAGTGCAGGAGCAGTTGGGGAGGAAGGTCCTGAGACCCTGGGTGTGTATTGGCAGAGGGAGGGCGGAGAGTTGGTGAAAATATGATTTTGGACCAACTTGACTTTTAAGCAGGTTTCAAGACCTGATGGAAAGTTTACTTGCTGGTTGTCATTAGGTGGGGGGTAGTTTTCTAAATTGGAGGGAAGTGTTACCCCAGCTCCGAAAAAGATCCTGTGCCTTTTTTTCTCCCCAGCCCTCAGTAATGGTTAGTCTCCACCAAGCTCCCTACCCACCCCCGTTATATTTACTTAAGAATAAGATTAAACAAACCAAAAAGCATGCCCATTTACAATTTTATTTCTTCTGAAAGAATTCTCCACTGATTTTGAGGCTCCACAGACCTGGGTCCCTGAAGAAGAGGAGGAGGCTCATTGGAAACCGCCCCACTCCCAGGAGCCATCCTGGGGACCTGTCTTTGGCGCCAAGGACAGGACAACGGAGACCTGTGTCAAGGATGCTGCGGGCGGCGCCACAGCCTCTTCCGCAGTCTTTCAAGATGGCCATTCCTTCCTATGCAGATGGCGGGGCAGCCACGAAGCTCAGCAGCCCAGTGGCGGGGCTTGGTGGCCTGACCTGGCCCGCGCCCCCGACCCAGGCCCTGCCCTCCGCCCAGATGCGCGCCTCCTGATTTATGAGTCTTGTTAAATACTCATTAGACTTTGCACCTTTCTCCAGCAGGACCCAGGACAGCGAGGCGAGTGCCAGGCAGTCCCAGGAGGATGGCCGAGAAGAGCGCATGAGCGCGGGGCGGTAACTGGTGCCCTCGGGCGCCGGGCCAAGAAGGGAGCCTGGCTGGCCGCGGTGGTTCCCCCACCCCTGGGTGCCGGGCATGCGCCCTCCTGCGAGAAGCCGGGGCCCGCGCGGGGGACCCAGAGCAGCACCCATGAGCGCCTTGAAAACGCGGGCCTTCGGACCCCGGGGCGAGACGGGCGCGCCGCGGAGGGGCCGCGGAGGGACCAGAGTGGGACCGGCGAGAGGCGCTGCCAAGAGACCCCAGGAAAATCCCTGGAGGAAAACGCCCAGAAGCGAAGGACCAGGGGCGCGGGACGTTGGAAGCTCGGGCGGTGCCCGCCAGCCGGCAAAGCTGAGCAGGTGCCTGGGTGCAGTGGGGGCTTGGTTCCTGGACTGTGGCTGGAGGGGGAAGTGCGGCCCTGGCGCGCCGCGCGGAGGCTCCGGAACCGGCCGGAGTTTCCCACCACCGCAAGGTAGAAAAATGGACCGCCATCACCTGGCCTGGAGTGCCGCGATGTCGCCGTCCCCGAGTGTAGGAGGAAGTGAATTACATGCGTGTGCACACACGTAAATATTTTATAAACCTCCCCTTAATTAACCAAATCATTTCCATTGTGCCTCCAATGTGATCAACAGCGATGGTGTGAGGGTTTTCAGGGTTTATAATTTGATGTCACCAGACGGTTGCTCGGGGGCAGGGGTACTGTCGCCACGCCAGCTGTGCTCGTATTTATTTGTTTTTCTACAGTGTTCCTGTAGGGCTCCA